GGTGAGCTTTCCACAGATCTTTCTTCCACAGAGAGCAGGTTGAGTGTTGGGATAACTGAATTCAGCACATTTCCGCAGAGATACAAAAGTGAGATCAGTATAACAATCAGTAGAGTCCTGGTGTAAGCACCATAAACACCTCCGCATTTTTTCAAGAAGTGACATCAAGGGATCAAGGTGAAAACACGAAATATTGCCGGAAAGGTGGTATGTAAGGTGCAACGTTGCCGTGCAGTCATTGCGGTGTCGTCAGGGACCTTACTAGAGAGAGTGGCGCAGCTGCCGTAGTCGCTCATCCACATCTTTCACGGTCTCATGCACCTGCTTTAGACAAGAGATGCGGCCATTAGAGACACTAAAATCAATTTCATGACTTCTGAAATGAGCAGTCGAGCCGCTACCTGTTGTGGTTCCCAAGATACTACAGGAATGAGCGGGAGGTTCTCGAAACCCTCGCTTAGGGTTGAGCGAGGCGGAGAGGCGCCGTCGCTTATTTTTCGGAAAACTGAGCGACGAAAATAATTGTTGGGACATTTGCCGAGCTGCCGAGCACACGCGCCAATAATTTGTGCCAGTCGCCTAGGGACGGTGAGCCTTTCGAAAGATTACGCAAATTCTGCTGACATAGACACAAATCCCGCTGACGTAGTATATATAAACGGTAATTACAAGATAGCCGATAATCACCCAACCCGATAATCCGCTTGAGAAAGCTCCCGTCCCTTAGGCGCTGGTCAGGAGTCTGACTGTTTGCCCTCTACACGTGCAACATACCCCCGTTCGTAGTGAATATACGTCCGATTTTCACCGGTCGTCGAACTGAGATGCCACAGCAACCAGTGCTATTCAGTGCTTAATAAATGGGACCACAACTTGCGAATTTCGTACCGATATTTGTTTTGTACAGACGCTTCCTTATGTGGTGCGCGTGGTTCGCATCGAGTCGGACGGCGTGACAGACACCCATCATGCTTGGACTCAAAAAGTGCGCGGGTCAGCGAGCCTTCTGAGTTCATAAAATCTGGCCGTATTATGTGGCATTTGTAGCATAACACTAGTAGATCGACGAATGTTCGCGCATGTCGCGCTAATCCGACGAGTCGGTAACCAATGTGACGGTCACGCATGCCACGTAAAGAAAAATTTGTACCAAATAAATAATAGTGCAAAAGTGTGTAGATCCGTCAGCGGGCCGCAGCTCCGATACGCGGTGGCGGGGTCGCTGGGCGCATCATCGGGACAGCCGTGAGGACTTGCCAATCACCATAGGCGATGCTCTGCGGCGAGTCTTAGCCGTATCTCAAATATACTTCGCCCTTCCGAAGGCCAAGACCTTGTAATGAGCTAGAGCGGCCAATGCTCTGAATGACTCCTGTATATGCTCGGATGGTCTCGTGAACGCGCGATGGCATGGGCCGGACTGCGATGGAACATCGGAGATACACAATGTAAGTAGTCAATATGATCACTGAGATTGATGCTGTATGATGTGGTCGCGCTTCTATGGGCTCCTTTGGCCGTGGACCGCTTGCCCCACCGGAGGCGGCTCGCGCACAGTGCTCTGTCAGGACATCGATGCCCGCGCTGAGGCTACGGTCGTCGACGCTGACCATGAAGCTTCTCCGCCACATCTACGCGTATTCCGCGCACGGCCTAGTACAGGCTCATGATCAAGCCGGCGGTTGTCTGGCCCAAGGTGCCCACCTCTCCATATAAATTGCCCAGCTCGAGCGAGAGGACAAGCCATCCTCAGCATTCGCTTGAGATCTCTTCGTATACTCTACTTCGCCAAGTCTTCGATCGTCAACACCCACTCTAACATCATCATAATGAAGTTCTTCACCGCCGTTACTACTCTTCTCTTCGCTGCTTCTGCTGCCCTCGCGGCACCCTCCACTACCACCACCGTCACCGTCTCCTACGACCAGACGTACGACAATGCCGGTGGTTCTTTGGACACCGTTGCATGCTCCGATGGCCCCAATGGGTTGCTCACCAAGGGTCAGTGACCCTCATTCTGCTTCGCCCGGATAAGTTCTGACCTCCGCTATCCTTTCTCTAGGTTATGGACCTGACTTCGGCAACCTCCCGGGCTTCCCGAACATCGGCGGCGCAGCTGCTATCGCGGGTTGGGACGACGCCAACTGTGGCACTTGCTGGCAGCTCACCTACAACGGTGTCTCCATCAATGTGCTCGCCATCGACCACGCCCAGTCTGGCTTCAACATCGCGCTCGGTGCGATGAACACCCTCACAGACGGCAACGCTGTCTTCCTGGGACGCATCAATGCCCAGGCTCAGCAGGTCGATGGCAGCGCGTGCGGCCTCTAAAGACCACAGGTGAGTGCGCCGGGAAAGACTCCGGAGGATGGTTTCGCTTACCTGCAGCGCGCTTTGCAGAGGACTTAAAGGTGGCGGTTACCTGGGCATTCTTGAACCTAATGAAACGATGTATTCGGACTTCATTCTACGGACTTGACAGGTTGTACACCGATCGCATACGGACTCTACGTTGTAATTAGTTGTTTTTAACAAGAGTAAGGAGAGTTGAGGACTGGAGAGTAAATTTATGTGTCACTGGGTGTTTGAGGCGTACGAGCAGCCTCCCACCAAGCGCCCCATACGCCATGCATGTATATGGCGGCGGCAATAGAGCCTGAGAGTGCTAAACCATTCCCCACTTTTACGTTAGTTGACCGCTGAAGCAGGTATGTCATCGTACATATGGGTCAGCAAGGACTCTGGAGGCAGCCTCAGCTCGCGAGTTTTGTGAAAGAAAGTCAGATATAGCTCACTGTCCGCAAGAGAGCCGGCTACTAGCTCACAAATAAGTTACGTTTCTGACAGGCGTGCCACACCCCAAAATATAGGTGTAAGTAAGAGCTGTAAAGGTAGTTATATTTTAAGTTCGTCACGATGCCTCGATCTGGCTCAGCAAATACTGTATTTATATCAACTTACCCTGGCACTTGCAAGCTTTACTTATTTTTACTTACTGTAGCTTAGACTTTAGACGCTATATAAGAGATAGGAGCTTACAACCTTACTTACGTTCTTGAGCGTTATTTACCGGTACCAGTAAGTTACACCGGCCGACAGTTCCTTTCGCAACACTACTCCTCGCTTCGAAAGTCTTCACCACCGACCCTCTTTAGCAACTCGCATCGCACCCTCACAGCTGCCACCGTCCAAGGGTCGCGCTTTCCCCATACTCTTGAACCTTTGAGACTTGATTCCATTAATTGCTCACGGGAAATTTTAGCGCAACCGCCGCTGTGACGATATTGTTCAGTGAGCACCCGGGGGTGGAATAGCAGGCGAAAAATGCTGCCGCCTTCCCCGTTGACGCTCTCCATAAGTCTGAACCGCCATACATGGTGGAGCAAAAGAGATGAGGTTCGAGCCGCATTTGACCCAGGCAAACCAGTCTTGGACCGCCGTCCGCCCACCGAGTTCAACGTCCCACTCGGGATCGGGACTCCCAACTGTGCTCTTTAAGATCACACAGTATGGCAATGATGATTAATATCACCGGTGTGATATTCTCATTTCTGAACAGACACGGCTGGATCTAATAAATTTATTGCACTGACGGTGGCCCCGATGTGAGGTTAATACCAAGTTGATCATCAGCCGCGAGACTACTGCGAGCTTCTGGGACCACGACATCGCCCGGGCCCCGATTAGACATTTCGGCTGTCATTACCTGCTGGCCGTCAAGAACTTCGCTAGCATCTTCCGCGCTAAGCTGGACTGCACAAGCTGCAAGCGATCAATCACTTCAATTCGTTCCTTGGCGGGCTGTAATGATAGCAACGTACTTTGGGGGTTGACAAGCTGAATGCTGTCTTCACGATGTACTGCGTCTAGAGCAGACTCGAAGTGTGTGTTAAGGCGAAGCTCGGCAGTCAAGTCGTCCGCGGCAACACAGAGGTCCATTTCGTCGAGGCTCCTCCTACTTGAAAAGGCCACTGGAGATTCCACGAAAGGTCGTTCGTCCATGTCATGCAACCAGTGGTAGTTTAGGATGGGCTGTGTCGTATCCAGGATATCCGATTCTCTGTTGCCATCTTTACGAGACTCGTCGAAGCCCAGAGCCGGGCCATGATCCCCATCCTTCTGGCTGGTATTTGCGGTCGCAAATCCTGCGCTGTCTGCGTATGATGCTGGGGAACCCGAGCGAATAGGATAGCCGCCGACGTGGCTCACACGCTTCGAGAACGTCCGCGGGCGATTGTCGTCCGCATCGAGGTCGTCATGATAGGGAAGAGCACGGAAAAGGGAGAGATTAGCCTCCTCGTCAGGACTAGGATCACTCTTCAGTCCCGTGGAAGGAGTAGCGCGAGCTCGAGGTGATCGACGACAGGGTTCTTCCAGTGCGACGCCGGAGGCGTGCCCGGGCTGCTGTTCCTCGCTACGAATACTACCACGTTGCCTGCGCTGCACAATCTCTTTTCGCTCATGTGGAGAAGCTTTCAGGTAAGAGCGCAGGAGGTAGACGTCGTCCTGAATGCTGGCGTTGGTAAAATACCCGTGTACAACCGTCCTTGTGAGGCTGATCGCGAGCAGGCGAAGCGCAGCTGGCGCGAAGCACTCCAAGTAAACGATGGGTGCGTAGACCTTGTGCGACCTGAATAGCACCTTGTCCCGCTCCCAGATAATGGACCAGTTCTGGCTCTCCGCAAGCGAAGGGGCGAGGAATATGCTGGGGAGCCAAGGGAAGCTAGTGTTGTCGTACCCGCCGTTCTCCCAGCCCTGCTCGACAGCGAAGTCTAGACCGGTTGCCATGGCCTCCAAGACCTTTGGGAAATGAGTGGCCATCCAGCGCTGAATGTCGCGATCCAAAGCGAGAGGGCTCTCAACAGCGTACTGCCCAACTTTGAGGATCCATTCGTTCGCGGCCCAGACGAAGAGATGATGCCATGTGCGGGTGTGCGCCGGTGTCGGGAAGGTGAAGTGCTGTATCAGCGCCGTCCATTCACCCAACGAAGCATTGGCGATGTCACCGAAGGGTGAGAGCCACCAGTTCGAATGCCATCGGGTCACGTGACTGGGTCCCGTAGTACCTTCCCCAGGGCGCAATCTTCCTAGCATGTAGCGCAGATCATGCCTGGTATGATCAATGAGATGGCAGTGCTTCTCGAAGGCGTATAGGAGATCCGTGAATTCGTCCGGTGCGTGCTTGTAGAGGAGCTCACAAAATGCTGTGTTTGAGTGGCTGATGAAAGACCTTTCGTCTGCCGCCACGAGCCAGTCCAGCGACTGGTAGCTCCCACCGTTGTTCCAGCCCTTAGCTCCAGCTCTATGGAGGAAATCCGCGGATTTCTTGCAGAGAGTGGCGACGGTAGACGTTTGCGGTTGGAGCATCCACTCGTCTTTCCACGCGCGGAACGCACGAGAAGCCAGTAGCGCGAAGATGTTGTAATCCTCTCGAGTGGTCGTAGGCTGGTCCAGAGAATACTTCCCGACGAGAGTTAACCAGGCGGCTGCATCCAGTTGTCCATACGGCCTGTCTTCATTCTCCAAGGCAATCTGCGCAGAGATGGAAGCTACAGGATCGTCTAATCGTCAGCGAATAGCGAAATAATAGACCTATGCAGACTTACGCGGCCGTTCACCCTTCACTACGTTGTCCTCATCGAAATCAAAGTGCACATAGTCCGACATGAAATCAAGGAAAAAGGATCGTAAGCCGGGGAATGCCTCGTCAAACTGCTGCTTCTCAGGATGACGGACAATCGTGTTGTACAGACTGGAGAGTTCCTGCAGGCAGTCGATACCGTGAAATTCCATGATAGGCAGTTCGGAGTGTCTGTTGAGAGCGACTTCTCGAAGCCCACAGAGGATCTCAGCCGCCCTCCGGCTAAAGAGGACCAGAAACCGACGGTCATGGCGAGCGTCTAGCACCTCAGCGGAAAGCATCTCTGTGATCGCGGCCTTGAGTTCGGACATAAGCAGGTAGCTGAGAATGCGCCTCTGCGGAACCGAAAGCTCTACGTGGACTCCACGCACAGGGGCCGCAGCTTCTTTCTTGAGCCGAAGAGCGAACTCGGGTGAAACAGTGTACATCGTCCTGAAGCGCTTGAGGACACTGGCTCCTATGCTCGAGGCCGCCATCCTCTTGCTCTCGTCGCATGCAGTATTGTAGAGCTTCAGCTGCGTATCCACGATGGTTTCCACGTCTGTTTTGCGCGGCATGCATGCGCGGGCGAGCGTGTAGAACAGGGTAAGGTGCCTGAAACTGCGGGAAATCGCGAGCTCTACGAGACGCCTGTTCGAAATCTCGCCTAGTTTTTTGGTTGGCAGCATCCCGGGGTAGACGTCGATCGAATAAGCAAGGTTCGGAGGGCGTATAGAATTGGAGCATTGGCGAAGCTGCTGAAGGAGCCCGACATCCTGGGACGCGGCGGTAATCCACGACAACGCTCGGAAGAGGAGGTCGGGCTCGGTCATAGTGGCGAGGTGTTGGTCGATAGTGCTCGCAGGGATCTCGAACAGACTCTCTGCGGTATGTGGGGAGACTTGTATAGTGTACGTGCCGCGTTCAAAGTACCAGGACGGTTGGAGGATCCCCTTCATCTCCTCCTCAAGTTCCTCGAGCACAACGGGAGACGCGTTGATCATGTCGCCGGTGGAGCTGGCAAGTGTGTGAGTCCGGATACTCTCCAAATCCCTAGATCTCCACCCCTGCCGCACCCCGTCCTTATCTTCCGCATCGTCTACGTAGAAGCGATAAGACACCTTGCCGAAGAGCCGTCGTCTGGCGAGTCTCTAGAAACTCTTCGCAGTGAGTTTCTCACACGCAGGGCCCGGCTTCGACTGTCGGGCGCGCTTGAGGCTAGCAGAACGGACGCTCAGTCCGTAGCTCAGAAGAAGGGAAGTCTCTAAGATGTATTTACCTAGCAGAACGGACGCTCAGTCCGTACTGCAATACAGTCAGTACCCTACAGTGTCCATAATGAGAGGATATACGCACGCTCAGAAGAAGGGAAGTCTCTGAGCGTGCACGACAGGGAAAAGCAAGTAAATAAGGAAAGCGGCAGGTGCCTTAGCAACTGGTGAGTCAGGAACGAAATAACGAACGCGCTATCTAATAAAATACTGTCCAATAGGAATCTGAGTCATCCCGAGACATGTGCGTGCGAGCGCACGAGCCCAAAATCCAACACTCCCCCTCAAGCCTTTGCAAGGCCGAGGGCGGAAGCAAAGTGCTTGGCCTTCATAGACGGCAGAGCCTTCGTAAGGGTATCAGCGACCATGTCCTCGGTAGGACAGTAGGTGACGACAAGGTTGCCGGACTCGATGTGATAACGAATAAAATGGTAACGAATGTCGATATGTTTCGTCCGAGCGTGAAAGCGGTCGTCCTTTG